TGAACTATTTTTGCTGCATTCTGTAAGTTTTGGTATACTTCCATTTTCATTTGTCTCAAGATATTTTTTGATATGTTCTTTGATCCACTGGTTGTTCAGTACCGTTTAATGTACACTTACTTGTTAATTTCCCAGTTGTGTTCTTATAAATGACTTCTAGTTTAATACTATTGTGGTTGGAAAAGATGCTTTGTATGATTTCAATCTTCTTAAATTTCTTAAGACTTGCTTTTTTGACTAAAAAAGATCTATCCTGCGATGAGAATATTCCATGGGTGCTTAAGAATGTATATTCTGGTGTGTTTTTTTATGGAGTGTTAACTACATGTTTGTTGAGTACACATGGACAAATGCGTCATTTGAGGTAGAGGTTTCTTTCTTTTTTTTTTTTTTTCAAACATATTTTTTTAAACTTATTTTTAATGATTTGGGAGAGGGAAAAAGAGAAACATCAATGATGAGAATCTTTGATTGGCCACCTTCTGCATGCCCCCTACTGGGGATTGAGCCTGCAACCCTTGACTGGAATCAAACCCAGGACCCTTCAGTCCAGAGGCTGATGCTCTATCCACTGAGCCAAACCAGCTAAGGTGAGGTAGATGTTTCTTTATTGATTTTTTGTTTGGATGATCTATCCACTGATTAAAGTGGGGTATTAAAGCCCCCTACTATAATTGTATTACTGTCTATATCTTATTTAAAATATACACATAGCCGAAACCGCTTTGGCTCAGTGGGTAGAGCGTCGGCCTGCGGACTGAAAGGTCCCAGGTTTGATTCTGGTCAAGGGCCTGTACCTTGGTTGCAGGCACATCCCCAGTAGGGGTGTGCAAGAGGTAGCTGATCAATGATTCTATCCATCGATGTTTCTAACTCTCCCTCTCTCTTCCTCTCCGTAAAAAATCAATTAAATATATTTAAAAAAATAAAATTATATATATATATATATATATATATATATATATATATATATATATATATATATAAATAAAATTTCAGAGAGAGGGAGAGAGAAGATAGAAATATCAATGATGAGAGAAAATCATCAATTGGCTGCCTCCTGCACACCCCCTACTGAGGATGGAGCCTGCAACACGGACAAGTGCCCTGACCTGGAATGGAATTGTGACCTCCTGGTTCATAGGTCAACACTCAATCACTGCACAACACCAGCCAGGCTATATCTCCTTTTTAAGTCTGTTAATATAATATTTGCTTTATATAGGTGCTCCTGTGTTGTATGCATAAATGTTCTTCTCTCAGATATCCACTAACTTAAAATCTTTCCTCAAAACTTCTTACTGAGGTATACCTGTTCACTCTCTTTAATGCTGCAAACTACACCTACCCTACCCACTCTCATACACTTGCCAAATCCCTTACCCTAGTTTTATTTTCTTAACAGCATTTACTTTCTAATATACAATTTACTTATTTATTATGTTTATTATTTGATTCCTCCTTCCAAAGACATTACTCTTTTGTTTTGTTCACTGATATATCCCAAGTGCCTAGAATACTGCCTGGTACATTACTAGTATAGGTGGTAAGTAAATATTTGTTGAACAAATTAAGAAAATGGTAGATTTAAGTTTACTAGACTTTCTTAACATGATTAATCTAAAAGTTAATATTCCTTAATTAATAAATCATTACATGCCACAGTGCTGAAGTTTCTCAAAAAGAAATGTGAATTTCTATAATTTGGACTTCATTCATCTGGCACTGAATCCTTTTCCTGTAAAAGGGCCATTGAGTATGATTAAATAGGTTGTAAACTGAACAAAGATACCAAGGTAAGGACATAATAGAGGACCAAATCATTAAGCTAAGACCACATAGATATGGGGTACTTTTTTCTAACATGCTCAAAGGCAATGGTTTTAAATACCCAAAATTTAAACATCTAATTGTGTTTTAAACAAAATCCTTCCAAAATGTATTAAGTATTTCATGAAAAAAAAAAATAACTTTTATTGTAGAGAGCGGTTATAGGGTTAAGTCTTGGACTGTCCTGTTGGCAAAGCCACAAACCAGTCCCAGCTTAGAGGGCACAGCCCTCTAAGCATAATTAAGCCTGATTCTGTGACACTCCCTAGATCTTTCCTGGGTAGCTAATGGGCTGTGAGAGGTGCATGTGCTGCCAAAACAAGTGAAATTCACAAGAACATTGTAACTTGGTGACCACTACCTTGTGTACCTCTGACTGTAAAATAAAGGCTCAGCTTGCAGTCTGGATCGTTTCTGTGGTCTCAGCCAGGCACAGGAAGACCTACCTAGACCCAGCTTATTTTTTTTGTCTGTCTTTTCTACATCTGTCACCGCCCTCCCTCAGGCTTGTTGAACTCTTGGCTGTGCTGGCATCGCACATTTTATGACTTGAGGCTTTAATTAAGTTCTTCCCAACTATGATTATGAATAGCAAGTCATAGTGGTAAGTATCTGTATGTTGAAATAGACAAATGTCAGTTAAAATTCTGGCTTCCAATACTATTAAGTATGTGACCTTGGGTAGTTATCTAACTTCTCTATCCTCCTTTTCCAACTCTGAAAATTGGAAGAAGAATAGCTACTCTGCATTAAGTATACTTTCTTATTTCCTATGTTCTTGATGCTCTGATATTTGGAGCTGACTGGGAAGAGACTGCCATTCTCAGGGCTATCCAATTATTAAGAGATAGCAAGGAATGTATCTCTCATAAACAAACTAATTCAGAGCCCAAATTCCAAAACACCCCCTTTGTCTGACTGTTACACTCTAGGAGGCAATATTCCCCTCCTAGTGTGTAAGAGTTAAATATCAAATAACCAGGAACAGCCTGTATGCCCAGAGAGTACCGAATTACTCAAACTGGCCAATCATAAATCTCCATGCCCTCCAATGCACCACCTTTCCTGCAGAAGCCACAATAAAGGCTCTGGCTTGCCTCTTCTGCTTATTGCATGACCACAGTGCTTCCTGTGTGGCTCTGTGTGGAGTAGCATGATATGGCATACCTTGTCCCTTGGGAACTGTGATTGACAAACTATCCTTTCAATGATAATTACTTCTTATCTGTTGGCTTCAACATATCTGAATAATAACAAAACCTATATTTTAAAGCACCTTCAGAGGGTTTTTAGAAAGAATAAATTCCAAAAGTATTTTTTTTTTAAATCCTCACTTGAGGCTATTTTCCCCATTGCTTTGCAGAGAGTGGAAGGGAGGGAGTGGAAAGAGAGAAACATCAATGTGAGATACACTGACTGGTTGGCTCCTGCAAGTACCCAGAAAGGTTGGGGATGGAACCTGCAACTCAGATACATACCCTGACCAAAATCGAACCCATGACCCTTTGATGCATGGGCCAACATTCTAACCATTGAGTAACACAGTCCAGGGCCAAAAGTACTTTTTAACCACAAGAACCTCCCCTTTCAAAATCAAAGGATTAAATATGAAAACACAAACAATAAAATTTCCAGAAGAAATGTATAGCAAACAAACAAGCCAGGAATCATAAATACAAAGTATTGCTTTTAAATTAAAAAACAAAATAAAACAAACAACACAACATCTTAAAATTATTTAAAAAGTACTGCTTTAAAATGTAAAACTTTGATTTACTAAAATTAAATAGGGATGTGTGTGTATATATATATAATATCTAAGTGTCCTACGATTCGACTGTTCAACATGTCGAATTGCTTGACATGTACTGACCACCAGGGGGCTGACACTTTGATACCGTGTTTCCCCAAAAATAAGACATCCTCCGAAAATAAGACCTACTTACAGGTTTCCTTCTGAGTGAAATATAAGGCATGCCCCGAAAATAAGGCCTCCCCTAGGCTAAACATGAGAGATTTGATCCACTGATTCTGAAAGAAATGGAGTCACAAGAAATTCACCAGGAAATTCAGGAATTGGATTGTTATGATGATGTTCCAGAAGATGATGACATGATTGTCATTGAAAAAATGAGTAAATTCTTGATACTGTAGGATTCAGTTTGTCTGGTTTGTGTTGACAACTACCGTACTACTGTACCGTATACATGTAATAAATTTCCTTTATTTTCATTTAACAATAAATGTGTACCGTATTCTTCTTCATGGAAAAATAAGACATACCCTGAAAATAAGACCTAGCGCATCTTTGGGAGCAAAAATTAACATGACAGTCTTATTTTCGGGAAAACAGGGTAGGTATGTTAGCTTGCTGCTGGGGTCTGGCTGATCAGGACTGGGCAAGATGGGCTGGACATGCCCTGGAGCCCTCCCATGGTCCCTTTCTAACCTCTAAAATATTTCTTCTAATTAACTTCCTTTCAATGTGCACGAATCCATGCACTGGGCCTCTAGTAAAATATAAAATGAAAATGTGGATAAAAAATTCAAAAGTCGCCGAAACCAGTTTGGATCAATGGATAGAGCGTTGGCTTGGGGACTGAAAGGTCCCGGGTTCGATTCCGGTTAAGGGCATGTACTTTGGTTGTGGGCATATCCCCAGTAGGCGGTGTGCAAGAGGCAGCTGATCGATGACTCTCTCATTGATGTTTCTAACTCTATTTCTCTCCCTTCCTCTCTGAACAAAATCAATAAAATATATTTTTAAAAAATCAAGTCATGTTAGAAAAAGGATTAATGTCTATACAGATTAGAAAGAGATTAGTGATTATCTAAGCTTGAGAATATCAGTTTTATTACTATAAAATTGTAGTAAGTCTCATCAACTCAAATAAAAGCAATTATTTCCCTAAAATTGTTATGTCCACTATTAAGTGTGTGGCTGAAAACAGCTTGGATCACTAAAAAGAAGCTCACTACATCCTGTTTAATATTCAATTACTTAAAATAAATATGTATATTTGTAGGAAAATATTACCCTGTTTGCCCATTAAAAATTCTAATTAGTAAAATTAAAATAAAGTATATCTATTTGTAATAAATAATAAATTATTTATGAATAGAGCATTTTAAAAAGTCTTACACATGTTTTATGATAGAAAAAGACTTACCGTCCAAAATTTTATAAAGTACTGCAAAACTGTTGTAGCCACAAACAGGCAATATAATAGGGAATACAATAAAAACAGCAGGAAGAATTTGTAATTAGAAAATCCCACACAGTTATTCACCCTAGAAGAATAAAGAAGGCCACACTGTAATATAAGACAAATTATAAACTCACAGAAACAAAAACTAGAATGTTTGCCAGGGGCTGAGGGAGGGGAAGTGAGAAGCTGATTAACGGGTATAGACTTTAGGTTTTGCAAGATGAAAAAGTTCTGAAGACTAGTTGGACAATGTGAACATACTTTACATTACTAAACTGAACTTAGAAATGATTAAGAAGGTAAACTGTATGTTGTTGTTTTTAATATATTTTACATATTTTTTACAGATGAGAGAGAAACATTGATCAGCTGCCTTCTGCACACCCCTTACTGGGGATGTGCCTGCAACCAAAGTATATGCCCTTGACCAGAATTGAACCTTGGACTCTTCAGTACACAGGCCGACACGCAATCAGCTAAGCCAAACCAGTTAGAGCTATGTTGTTGTTTTTTAACCATAATAATAAATAAGACATTTCAAAAAAACTTAAATCATTATTATTAGGAAATGGGTCATTTGGAAAATAGGGAGCAATGTCTTAATTGTGAATGTGTGTTTTTAATAAATTCTATAAGGAACTTGGGAAATTTAATATTAATTCTTAATATATAATTACTTGATTAATAATACTAGAATATATTTCTAAAGGAAAATTTTTAATATAAACATGTATATAAATAGATCAAGCTTAATGTATATAAGTAAGTTAATCTTAAAAATTTTTTCTCCTTCCCCACCTCTGCACCTTTATATATTACTTCCTCTATGCTTATACATACCAAGGACAGTGATGATCCATCTTTAGAATACACCTAAAAAACAAACATAATTCTTATTGTTGATAATTTTTTCCCTTAAATTTTTCTCTTTACAAATACAGCTTAGAAAAACTAACCAAGTAGGCATTAGATTAGAGAAATTTTCTGATATTTCCACCAATACCTTCATAGGTAAAAGGTAATAGATTTTTGCCTTGGACCACATTAAGAGACATTTTAACACACACATATGGTGCACTTGGTACATTAGCTAGTCCAACTCACAAATCAGCTAAGGGAAATGAAATTAAATACAGACAATCCCTACTTTAAACATGTACAAGTCATAAAAAGACTTTAGAAACAACAGTTAAAATATTAACACTGATGGTCTTATATGTGGTTATCTTTTCCACATTTTATATAAGAAAAGCCTAATATGCAAATCGATCGAACAGCCACTATGATGTGCACTGACCACCAGGGGGCAGACACTCAACGCAGGAGCTGTCCCCAGCCTGCAGGCACCGACTTATGGCGGCGGGGCCATGGCCAGTGAGCAGGCAGCCCCAGGCCAGCCAAGGCGGGTGTCAGTGGGGACCCCCTTTGTCCCACCAGTTGTCCCACAGATTGGACCTGATCGCCAGCCAGGCCTAGGGATGCAAGAATTTCATGCACAGGGCCTCTACTATTTTATAAAGTTATATACAAAGATAAGCATTACTATCTCTATATATAAAAGCTTAAGTGACCAAACGACCGATCAACCAGTCGCTATGATGTGCACTGACCACCAGGGGGCAGATGCGCAACGCAGGAGCTGCCCCCTGGTGGTCAGTGTACTCTTATAGCCAACCTCCTGCAGCCGGCCAACCTCCAGCAGACCCTCCCCACAACCAGCTGGCTCCTGATGGCCTCCATCAGAACCTCCTACAGCCCCTCCCCCCAGCTGGTTGGCCCTAATGACCCAGATCGAAACCTCCCATGGCCCCTCCCCCCAGCCAACCTCCTATGACCCTGATCAGTCCCAAATGCCAACCAGGCCAAGGGATCCCATCCATGCATGAACTCGTACACCAGGCCTCTAGTATTTTTATAATCAGAAAAAAAAAATCCCAAAGTTTGCCTCCTCACCATAATATGTAATCTATCTCTCTATATAAAAGCCTAAGTGACCATTCAACCATTTGACCAACAACTATGATGGACACTGATCACCCGGGGGACAGACGCTCCAACCGGTAGGTTAGCTTGCTGCTGGGGTCCAGGCAATCAGAACTGGGCAAGATGGGCTGGACATGCCCTGGAGCCCTCCCATAGTCCTCCCCAGCCCTGAATGTGCACTAATGGGGTCACAATCTGGGACCCCTCAGGGGATGTCCGCAGGCCAGGCCAAGGGACCCCACTGGTACCACAAATCCATGCACCAGGCCTCTTGTATATTTATAAAATCAGACCACAGATCATCTCATTAACATAATAAATGATAAAGTAAAGGTTAAATAGCTTGTCTAACTTAAGTTCAAGAAGGTTAAATAGCTTGTCTAACTTAAGTTCAAGAATTAACCAGCGTTCCCAAATCTTTAGATCTTTCCTTCCAACACATTACCTTCTCACAAGCACACAGGAATGAAATCTTTTAAGTTTTTTCTGGGAACAATGTTACAGATGAAAATTAAAGAAATATTTTTTTTTGTGTGTGTGGCTTCTTAGGTTTTAATATCAATATTTATAATAAAAAAAGAAATTGACATTTAATCCAGGAAATAGTTATTCTTTAAAAAACACACACAAATAATGCCCTCTGATGGTAATGGGTTTTCTTTTCCTTTTTAATTTAACTTCAAAAAATATATATTTTATTGCCCTGACCAGTTTGGCTCAGTGGATAGAGTGTCGGCCTGCGGACTCAAGGGTCTCAGGTTCGATTCCGGTCAGGGGCATGTACCGTGGTTACAGGCACATCCCCAGTAAGGGCGTGTGCAGGAGGCAGCTGATCGATGTTTCTCTTTCATCGATGTTTCTGACTCTCTATCTCTCTCTTTCCTCTCTGTAAAAACTCAATAAAACATATATATTATTGATTCTAGAGAGGAAAGGAGAGGGAGAGACAGTAACATCAATAATGAGAGAGAATCATTGATTGGCTGCCTTCTGCACACCCCTTACTGGGGATCAAGCCCGCAACCCAGGCATGTGCCCTTGACCAGAATCGAACCAGGGACCCTTCAGTCCACAGGCTGACACTCTATCCATTGAGCCAAACCAGCTACAGCTAGGGCCAGGAAATAGTTATTCTTAAGGGGGTTATTACATACTTGTTCGTCAATATTATCTTAAGCATAAACAAAAAATATATTTAAAGAAAACTCCATCAGCCCTCGCTGGGTGGCTCAGTTGGTTGAAATGTCATCCCATACGCCAAAAGTTTATGGGTTCGATTCCCAGCCAGGACACACACCTAGGTTGTGTGTATAATGCCCAGTTGGGACTAGTAAGGAAGGCAACCAATCAATATTTCTCTCTCACTTTCCCTTCCTCTCTCTAATAACATATATCCTTGGGTGAGGATTAAAAAAAAAAAAAAGAAAGGAAATTCTATCAACCAGTACAGAAACTATTACAGATTACGCCAAAGTATATTCTAGCTTATGAAAATATTAATGTTAGCCCTCATATGTAGCAAATAATGGGGGATGATGAAGTGTTTTTGCTAAGTATAAAGCATATAAAATGTTCCTTTCCCTTCTGTTCTCCTGTTGCCAATTTCCAATGTTGGGGTTAAAGGAAAGCAAATGAGGGGTAACACTTACATGTCACATGCTGAGCAGTGATGCGCCCGGTCAGGTTTAATCAACTGACATCTTTCACAATATCTGATGGCTACATTTAAAAATTAAAAGGTGTTGAAGAATATACAAGTTTAGTTAATTTGACTATAAAATTTGCTTTCATTTCTTATATAAATAACTCTGGGGAAATGGACAACTAATAACTGTCATCAGTTTTGATATTAGTTTGCCCACTGACTAGCTGGTGACTTTGGGCCAGTAATTTACATTCTAAGAGCCTCTTCTGTAAATGTAAATAATATCAAGTATAATGAACTATTATAGTTTACACATTAAAATGAAACCTTCTAGAGCATAGCAAATTCTCAATAAAGCAATTATTACTATAATATAAATATTATTTTAAATAAAATATAAAGTAAAATTCTATGATGAGAAAAATTAGTGAAGGAGAGAAAACCAGGGAGATTAAAAAGTGCACAAAAATAAATACATAAATTGCCGAAACCGGTTTGGCTCAGTGGATAGAGCATCAGTCTGCGGACTCAAGCGTCCCAGGTTCGATTACGGTCAAGGACATGTACACTGGTTGTGGGCACATCCCCGGTGGGGGGTGTGCAGGAGGCAACTGGTGGATGTTTCTCTCTCATCGATGTTTCTAGCTCTCTATCCTTTTCCCTTCCTCTCTGTGAAAAATCAATAAAATATATTTAAAAAAAAATAAAATAAAAATAAATACATAAATGAATAAAGTACAAATAGCCATGAAAAAGAACACCCAGAAATAGTCACTACACAGACATCTCCTGATGCCTATTTATTGAGACACTGTGTTAGAAGCCATGGGAGAACATTGGCTGCCAGAGGCTTAAAGTCAGTAAGGCGAGAGGGGCATCAATAACTAAAGCCTTTGACTTATAGTCTACAAGGTAAAAATTTGAGGGGGGTGGGGGAAGGTGGGAAAGGAAAACCCTACCTCTGTGCTAGCAGAGTGAAAACAGGGAAACAGTGTGGAACAAAACTAGAGATAACTGCTAGGTGGACTGAGATCGGAGGTGAGAAGGTTTAGAAAGACAGGTTTTTGTTTCCTGAATAGAGAATAATATATCCACACAGCCTGAAATAGCACAAAGGAATTCAGTGAGAAGACCCCACTCTGGTGCCCAGCACCCTAACTCCCCTCTGTGAAGGCAGCTCCATACTTTCAATGATCTCTGGTCTATGGAAGGTTGACTTTCTGTAGTATGTATTCTGTAACTCTATTCTTTAAAGATGAATAGGTATTGCTTCTATAGCAAGAAAAAGAAAAAAGCCCCAATTTGGGATTCTGAGAGTAGAAATGCAATATAAAATGGTTCCCCAGAGCAGGACCTGCCAACAGTCAGAAGACAAAGCACATGTCCCAGGCCTGGCCACTTGGGATGCTGGGTATCTCTCACTGTGCCTCACATCTCTGAAATGGGAACAAGAGCAGCACCCACCTCAGAATTGTTCTGAGGATTAAACAATTACTAATAAAGTTCTTGACCTGATCTTGATGTAATATCCAAGAGATGAAGGCTACTGTTCAGCTCAGAGGACAGCCATTTTATATAATGAAAAGCAGTAAAGCTTTTTTAAGCCTAAAGATTTTAGCCCTTGATGGTGTGGCTCAGGTGGCTGGGCATTGTTCAGTGCACCGAAAGGCTGCCAGTTTAATTGCTGCTCAGGGCATATGCATGGGCTGTGGGCTTAATCCTCAGCAGGGATGATGTTTCTCTCTCTTTCCTTCTCCCTCTCCCTTCCACTCTAAAATCCAATAAAAATATATTTTCTTAAAAAAAGTCAAGATTTTACTTAACAAGATCATGGCTCTTAACTCTTTGGGGTACATGTACTGCTCTGAAAATCAGATGATCTTGTTATAAATAGGCTACTTGAAATTTTGTGTAAAATCTCAGGGCTTCCTAAATTCTCTGAAATCTTGGACTTTGGGTTAAATACATCTAATCTGCAGAGAATTTAACTACTAAGAATTATTGTTAACCAGACCTTTCATAATTAAATATAAGAAAGGATTGCCCTGGCTGATGTAGTTCATTTGACTGGGCAATGTCTATACACCATAAGGATGCACCATAAGGTTCTATCCCTGGTAAGCACACATGCCTGGGTTTAGGGCTCAATCCCTAGTAGGGGATGTGTGGGAGTCAGCTGATCAATGTTTCTCTCTCTCTCTTTTCCTTTCTCTCTCTAAAAATCAGTAAAAATATTTTTAAACAAAAGATTATTTTAAATTAGCTATCATATATTGAAAATTCATTATGTACAAAGATCTATACTAAATGTGTATCTCATCTATGTATCTTATATAATACACTAACTCAGGGATACAGATATTATCCTCATTTTAAAATGAAGAAACTAGGGCTTAGAAAGTTTAACTAATTCTCATTGTACTAGTAATAGAAAAGTTGGGGTTTGTCCTAAAATCCATGTTTTCATTCCATATGGTAATATACTAAACTAGTGGCCTGATGCATGAAATTTATGCAGGGTGAAGGGTTGTAGGTTGGGGGGATTGTCACATCAGCCCAGCCTGCATCCTCTCCAATTGGGGACCTCTTGAGGAATGTTTGACTGCTGGTTTAGGCAGTCAGAAATCCCTCTCTCAATCTGGGACTGCTGGCTCCTAACTGCTCATCTGCCTGCCTGCCTTTTTGCCCCTAACCTCTCTGCCTGCCTGATTGCCCCTAACTGCCTGCCTGCCTGATTGCCCCTAACTAACTCTGCCTGCCTGCCTGCCTGATTGCCCCTAACTCCTCTCCCCTGCTGGCCTAATCTTGCTCCCAACTGCTCCCCCTGCCAGCCTGACCTCACCCCCAACTGTCTCTGCCTACCTGATCATCCCTAACAGCTCTCCCCTGCAGGCCTGATCTCAGAGACAATCTCTGTCTCTCTTTGTTTTTCTCAGCAATCCTCCAGGCCTTTCTACCTCTTTGTGTCCCTCTTCCTCTTTCCCAGCTGGGAGAGGGCAGGGCCCATGGGGGCTGATCCACCCTCTGTCTGCCCTCCCTTACATCCAGGCCTCTTCAGGCCCAATCTGTTTTGTTTCCTCATTCTGAGAGAGTTTCCAAGAACAAGAGCGAGAACAAGAGTGAGAGCGAGCCCCAGGAGGGAGGGAAAGGAAGGGAGAAAAGGCTGTGAGCTGGTGGATGCTGTGTGTGTCTGAGCATGTGTGTGGTTGTGAGTGTGAATGCCGGCCACACCTTCCCTGTCCCCTTCTCCACTGTCACAAGAGAGCCTGCTGCACACACAGTCAGGCTTTAGGTCGAACCTCCGGTCGTTGTGGATGTGCCAGACCCAGGGTTTTTCTTTTTTCTTTTAAATATATTTTTATTGATTTCTTTTACAGAGAGGAAGAGAGGGATAGAGAGTTAGAAACATCGATGAGAGAGAATCATCCATCAGCTGCCTCTTGCACACCCCCTACTGGGGATGTGCCCGCAACCAAGGTACATGCCCTTGACCGGAATCGAACCCGGGACCCTGGAGTCCGCAGGCCGACGGTCTATCCACTGAGCCAAACCGGTTTCAGCAGACCCAAGGTTTTTCTATGTTAGGATTATGTAAGTAGGACAGCATTAAGTGCATCAAAAAAACAAAAAACTTGGTCAAATATCCCCTCCAAAACTCTTGTGCAAACTTTATACTTTCTGAACTCACAATGTGTATATAACTATACAAGGAAAAGCCTTTTGTTTTCCACTGGAGTGGAGAAAGACTTTAATTTAAAACCATTTTTCCCCCCATATATCTGTCTGACCTTGAAAAAGATATTTAAGTTCATTGTGTCTCAGTTTCCTAATCTGTAGAAACAACCTTCACAGGATTGTTGTGAAGTTTAAATGAGTTTACAGGTACAAAGCACTTAGAAAACAGAATAATTGGTAGGTATTACAATTATTTAGTATTTAATGAATTCATGAGTTACATGATAATTTAAAACAATTTACTATATTTAAATAATCAGTCTGGCCACTCATAGTTTCACCCCATCATAAGGTTTTGTCTCTGAGAAAAGGAAGCTGCTACTGCACTCACATAACTCTCAATGGAGTCATTGGGACAGTGGAAATACCAACAGCTTTGGGATCACACAAACCTGAGTTCATATTCTGGCTTTCTGAATATTAGCTTTTACTTCTTTCTACTCTAATTTAGCATGTTCTTGATTTTTTTTTAATTACACAGAGATGGCACATAATATTCAAATTCAAACCAGAATTTCCAAATTATAGTTTACTAAGACTCATAATTGAAACTTTTAGTCATAAAGGTGAAGTTGAAAAAAAAGATGTAGAGAAAAAGAAACTCATATTAAAGGGAGCCTATTAAAAAAAATCTATCAATATATGTACATATCAATATCTAAAATATCACAGAAGACACAGAACATTAGAAAAATCTTGTTCCTGCCTATGTTATTTGAGGAATTGCAATATCCATTTAATAGTCAAATCATGCAAATAAATCTTGGCAGGGATGACCATATTTTTAAAAATTCTTTAATAGAAAAACTTAAAATTTGTTTTTCTTACTCCTTGAGCCTGATGTGGTATGGATAGGTAAGTCCTTCGCTGTTCTTCTCAAAATTTCTTGTTGTCGTTCTTGGCTGAATTCTTTTTCATAATGTTCCCTTTCAGAATTGGACAAGTAGAACTATAAAAGTAGAAAAAACTATTAATTCTTTTTAATCCCCAAAATATTAACTATCATGCTCAGAAAAAAAATAACAATAAAGTTTTATCCAGAAAAACAACAACAAAAAGCACAAAAATTTTCTTCTATGAAGGCAAAATTTATCTCCAAATTTAAATCAATTGTATTTTAACAAAACTGCATACTTTTTTTCCTTGTCCCTATGGTGTTTTTTTAGTCTTTATTGTTGAAAGTATTACATATGTCCCCTTTTTCCGCTACTGACCCCTTATTTTTCACTACTGTCCCTTTTAGCCTGCCCCGGCCCCTTGCCAGAGCCTCCACCACCCTATCGACTGTGTCCATGGGTTATGCATATATGCACACAAGTTCTTTGGTTGATCTCTTCCCAGCCACCCACCTTCCCTCTGAGATTTGATAGTCTGTCCCATGCTTCTATGCCTCTGGATCTATTTTATTCAACAGTTTATTTTGTTCATTAGATTCCAGATGAGTGAGATCATGTGATACTTGTCTTTCTCTGACTGGCTTATTTCCCTTAGCATAATACTCTCCAGGTCCCTCCATGCTATCTCAACGGGTAAGAGCTGCATAGTATTCCATGGTAAAACTATATACTTTTGATATATTAAAAAATATTTGCTCTTAATGATTGCAAAGAAGATCCAACTGAATATTTTCACATCTTTGTTTCTTTACAGAGAAAATTTATGGATTGGAGAGGGTGCAGGCTGGGCTGAGTGACAAAAGGGTAATGAAATAGGTAGCAGTAAAAATTTTGGTATTTAAAAGTTGGTATCAAGAGATTTTTAATTTTTGGAAAAATGTCTGAAGACTAAACTAGGCATAGTCTCTTTTTCTTAAGCATGGACTCCTTTATGTAGTGGTTTCTAGTTTTCATTTCCTTAATTTTTGTTCCCATGGTGTAATCAGCCTGTAGTTCATCTCTTAAATAGCATTTTCCCTAAAAAGGACTTCAGTTGCTCTTCTGATGTCATCCCAGAAGACTTATTTCATTTAGCAAGATTGCAAGGAACCCCAGTTTTTTGCTTCTATTCCATGTAACCAGGAACTTTACATTTTTATCAGTCTTTATTTCACAGAAGTCTTTTAAAATTCAAAATGATTTGAGACTTGCTCTTAATCACGTTTTATATTTTAATAATACTCTTACTCAATTTTTACTTATGTACATGGTTTTGCTTGAAAGGCATAAGGAATCATGACTGGAATTTTAACATTTTATATTTACACTAGAAGCCTGGTGCACGAATTTATGCATGGGTGGGGTTCCTGGATCAGGCCAGTGATCAGGGCCAATTGGAAACATCTCGCCCAGTCCCGATCAAGGCCAGGTAAATCAGGGCCTGATGGTGAGGAACAGGAGTAAGGGGGGAACTGCGGGAGGTTGGCTGGCCATAGGAAGTTGGCTGTGGGATGTACTGACCAACAAGGGGCAGCTCCTGCACTGAGCGTCTGCCCCCTGGTGGTCAGTGTGCATCACAGCGACAGGTTGACTAGTAACAGTTGCTTAGGCTTTTATATATAAAGGCTGAGTGCATTCATGCACGGGAGGGGTGTCACTCAGCCCAGCCTGCACTCTTTCCAAACTGGGACCCCTCAGGGGATGTCCGACTGCTGCTAACTGGAAGTTGGACATCCCTCTCACAATCTGGGACTGCTGGCTCCTAACTACTCATTTGCCTGCCTGCTTGATTGCCCCTAACCGCTTCTGCCTACCTGCCTGCCCGATTGCCCCCTAACCACTTCTCTGCCAGCCTGATTAATGCCTAACTGCTCCCCTGCTGGCCTGATTGCCCATAACTACCCTCCCCTGCCAGGGCCTGATTGCCCCCAAAAGCCCTCTTCTGCCAACCTGATCATCCCCAAATGCCCTCCCCTGTCAACCTGATTGCCCACAACTGCCCTCCCCTGCCAACCTGATCACCCACAACTGCCTTCCCCCTGCTGCCCTGATTACCCACAACTGCCCTCTCTGCTGGCCTGATCGCCCTCTAACCATTCCCCTGCTGGCCTGATCACATACAACTACCCTGCCCTACCAGCCTGATTGCCCATAACTGTCCTCCCCCGCAGCGAACCACCTCCTACACCAGAACCGCCTTTCCTGCATGAGACGGATGAGATGCCGGGACTAGCCTCCTCTTTGAAGAGCAGCTGGTGGGTCCCACCTTTGTTGTGCATGTGGACACCACCTTGTGGCAGCCACCTTGTGAGGTCGCACGAAGGCGTGACACCACTTGGGCTTTTATTATATAGAATATTTTGGTCTGCCTGTTAACTCAAATACCAACACCCTATACTCTTAATGCTTCAGCAATAACAGTATTAGCTTATCAATGTAGCTTATTTTGTTATAAACAAGGCAATATTTGTCATAGAAGAAAGAGCTAGGGATGAGAAAACTGATCCTAAGAGGCTCAGGGAACTATCTGAGATTATACAATTAATGGCAGAGCTGATATTAAATACAATTTTTAAAATTAATTTTTTAAAGTAATTCTTTATTGTTGAAAGTATCACATGTCCCTTTTTATCCCCCATTAAACCCCTCTAGCTTGCCCCCACCCTTCACCCCAGGCCTTCACCACCCTACTGTCTGTTTCCATGTGTTATACATATATACATACAAGGTCTTTGGTTGATGACCTCCCTTCCACTTACCCCACCCCGCCTTTCCTCTGAGATTCCTCACTCTGTTCCATGCTTCTGGATCTCTAGATCCACTTCCTTCATCACTATATTTTTTATTTATTTATTCATTTTGTTAATCCTCACCCAAGGATACTTTTTCCATTGATTTTTAGGGAGAGTGGGAAAGAAACATTGATGTGAGAGAAACATCATTTGTTGCCTCCTGCACAAGCCCTGACCAGGGCCTGGGCTGAGGAGGAGTCTGCAATCAAGGTGCATGTCCTTGATCTAAATCGAACCCAGAACCCTTTGGTCTGCAGGCTGAGGCTCTATCCACTGAGCCAAACTGGCTAGGGCTCATCAGTTTATTTTGTTACTTAGATTACACATGTGAGTGAAATCATGTGGTACTTGTCTTTCTCAGACTGATTTATTTCACTTAGCATGATTTGCTTCAGGTCCCTCCATGCTATCTCAAAGAGTAAGAGATTCTTCTGTTTTTTTACTGCTGCATAGTATTCCATGGTATAAATGTACCACAGCTTTTTATTTTTATTTTTAATAAATCTTTATTGTTCATATTATTACAAAAGTTCCTCACTTTTCTCCCTCCATTGCTCCCCTCCACCAGGTTCCCACCCCACCCTCTGCCCTTTCCCCATCCCCATTGTCCTCATTCATAGGTGCACAGTTTATGTTCAGTCTCTTCCCACACCCCCACTACTCTTTTCCCCAAGAATCGTCAGTCCACTCCCCTTCCATACCTCTGATTCTATTCAACAGTTAATATTGTTCATCAGGTTTTTTAATTCCCTTGGTTTTTAGTTTCACTTGTTGATAGTTATGTATTTGTTGTTCATAATTTTTACCTTTATTTTCTTCCTCTTCCTAAAGAACCCCCTTAAGCAATTCATATAATTCTGGTTTGGCGGTGATGAACTCCTTTAGCTTTTTTTATTTGTGAAGCTCTTTATCTGGCCTTTGATTCTGAGTGATAGCTTTGCTGGGTAGAGTATTTTTGGCTGTAGGTTCTTACTATTCATCACCTTGAATATTTCTTGCCATTCCAGTCTGGCCTGCATGATTTCTCATATGGGTGCTCCTTTATAGGTAACTACCTGCATTGCTCTTGCTGCTTTTAATATTCTCTCTTTGTCTTTTGCTCTTGGAATTTTAATTATGATGTGTTTTGGTGTGGTCCTCTTTGGGTTCCTTTTGTTTGGGGTTCTGTGCACTTCATGGACTTGTAAGTCTATTTTATTAACCAGGTGGGGGAAGTTTTCTATCACTATTTCTGTCAAAATGTTTTCGCTATCTTGCTCTCTCTCTTCTTCTTGGAACCCAATAATTCTGATGTTGGTTCGCTTGAAGTTGTCCCAGAGGTTTCTTACACGATCTTCAGCTTTCTGGATTCTCTTGTCTTCTTGCTTCTGCGGAGAAGTGTCTTCTGGCTCTTTATGTTCCAACTCTTTGACTTGATTTTTGCGATCTTCCATTCTGTTTTTAGGACTCTGTATAATATATTTCAGACAATGTATTCTTTATTTCTAGTTGATCCCTTTTCATATCCTCATATTGTTTATTTTATTGGCCTTTTCTAGGAAATTCTTGAAAAACCTTATAAGCATGGTTTGAACTCTATATCCAGTCTCTTCTTGTCCTCCATTTCTTTCGTTTGTGATCTATTTCCTTGTCTCGGCATTTTTGCTGCTTCCCTGAGTTGGTAGGGTGGCTTTGTGTGCTAAGGTGTCCTATATGGTTCAGTGGGTCAGTCTCACAGTTACCTGAGGTGGATACTTTTGGTGCACCCCTTTGTGGACTTTGTGTACAGCCTTTGTAGTTAAGTCTTAATTGTTGTTGGTATCAATGGGAGAAACTGACCTCCCGTCCAACTGGCTGTGAGGATCAGCTTTGTCTATGCCGGGAGACAGCCTTATTCAAAAGCCTCTCTGCTCAGCTTGGATGGGGTGGAGTTTCAGGGTGGAGCCTACAGCCTTGGCTTACCATCAGCCCCGCCCTATGAGGTTCCTGAGTCTCAGTGTTCCTCAGTGTCCTTTGGTCCTCAGTGCGTTGGTACTCGCTACAAGCACCTCTGCCCTCAAGTTTCACCCACTACCGGACAATCTAGTCTCTCCCACAATGAGCCTAGAACTGGGATTCAGTGCAGTCGGAACTGGGGTTCAGCATAGTCCGGAGCTTTTATCTCCTTCCCGCTAGGGAACGCCAACTAGGCACTCAGCCGTTCCGTCCTCTCCCCACGTGCGCAACTGTGTCTGTGTACCTTAGTCTTTTACATCTCCTCTAATTTTCCTTCTGGTTTTCTCTTTCCTTCTAGTTGTAGAATT